AAAAAAAAAAGTGGATTGACAGCTTCGGGTTGCCATGCAAAAGTGAAGGCGTCAGAAGGAAACAAGAGATTCAGGAAGTGTTTCTTAGAATCTAGTCCAAGACCCTCATTTGACATGACAGGGGTCCAAGGGTTCAAGCAATGAAGTGACTCGCCTAAGATTAGACAGTTGTGCCTGAGTCCTAAAAGCTCAAACTTCTATCAAGCTGTGCATTAACTGAAACGCTTAGGTCACACCCGGAAATCAATCTTCCCTAAAAGGAAGTCTTAAAATAATTCAAGAAATTTATCTGCAATGACTTCCCTCTTAAGTAACAGAATGAAAACGGTTTCATAATTTTTAAATTACTAAGGCAATGCAAGAGGCCGATTATTATTTTGAGAATCAAGCGTTTTGGCATTAACTCTCGGTGGGGAAACTACGGGCCAGGGCAATCAATGGGGAGTAGAGGGCAGAGGGTGCAGATCGCTCTCATATCGGAGCAAGTAAAAAAGTAACACGGCCGGCGCCCGTGGCTAAAAGGAGTGGGGCGCCGGCCCAACATGCCGGAGGTGGCCGGTTCAAACCCAGCCCTGGCCAAAAAGTGCAACAAAACAAAACAGGCCTCCCCAAATACCCAACATTTCCGCTTCTTTGTTTTCCCGTTTTGTTTTTTTTTTTTTTGGTTTGTTTGTGTGCTTGTTTCCCCTAGCAAAGAGAGCATCCCAAGACCAGATTTCCCAACGCGAAAGCTCCTACGCCCCTTGCCCCTGGAATAATAGGAGGCTCATCCCCCCCCACCTCCTCGCCGCAGAGCCGTTCGTATACAGCCTCCAGCTCCTGCAGCTCTGTCAGGGAGCGAATGAGCTCGATGGAGACTTCGGAGCACCGGCCACTTCCCACCCCTTCAGGCGGCGGAGGCATCCCTGACAACTTCTGAGGGGAACCGAGGTCCGCCATCTTGGTTCCCGTGGCGCACTTCCGGGCCGGCAAGGCCCGCTACTCGTTGGCGCGCTCGTCCTTAGAGCTGCCCACAGAAGTGCCAGAAGAACTCCTGTGGGTTTTTTTAAGTCTAATTTTTAAAAAAGTCTATCATTTTTCTGTTTTCCTGGGAAAACCAACGGTAATAAAATGTGTTTAAATCATTTTCAATCCGTTATGGGAGCAAGCCGGATGCCGTTTTAAAAAAAATTACTTTATTTTTCTGCAGGCTCGGATTGGATAGCTTTTTCCGCCGCGCGCCAGCGCAAGGCCCCTGTCTTGAGGACTAATGGCGGACGCCGGCGGGTTGGCGTTGGTGGTGGTTTAGACCTTGACCGGACTTAGCATCTGCCTGATATCTGCGCCATCCTTTGCGTTGTAAGGTAAAGAAACGGCTTCGTGACTTCCCCAGGCCTGGGGAGGTGGAGAGCGGCCATATGGAAGCGGGGGCCCGAGACTGCGGTGGGGGGGGGGCGAGTCTCAGGTAGTCTAGGCCTGAGAGGGTGCAGCCAGGGGCCAAGGAGGAGGTGTTGGACAATGGGGTGTGAAAAAGATTCCCGACCCTCCTGCGTCCTCAGTATGGGGGCATCGTGTTTTGGCTCCAACTAAGGCTCATAGAGATTGCTTCGTTTGGAGTCCTGGGGCCTGGGAGGCCGGGGAAGTGTGAGAAGGAATCGGAGAAATATCTCTCTAGGAAGAATAAATGGTGCACTATGATAGAGCATGCGGATGTTTAAGTGTAAATAAGGGAAACAGTCTTTGGACCTAAGACTCTGGTTTGAACTTGTGTTTTGGTAGTTGGGCAACTTGTCTCCTCCTCTGAACCTCCATTTTCTCGGGTGCGAAATATGGGACGATAGTGTCTGTCTTGGAGACTTTGCAGAGTTCAAGTGCGATGATGTTCCCTTGCAACAGGGGAAAAGGTTGGCCTTAGCAATGACAGGCTTCTCGTAGTAATCGGAGACGGGAGGTGGACGTAGGGGAAGTTAGAAAGTTTATACCAGGTTTCGGCGGTTGATGGTTCCTGGTATATAGTTCTTATAGAACAGATCTGATCGTCCTCCAAAACGCAGCTTTCTGTATTACCAAGATTAGAATGTAGGTGGAGAAACCTGGATCCTGCTAGGTTTGGGGAAAACGAATTCCAAGGGTTCGTAACGGGAATTATAGAGGACCCGGAGTGTAGGCTGAGTTCCTCCAGTTAGCGGTAAAGTATGAAAAGTAGCCTGAGGGAAGCTCTTCACGGTGTCCTCCTAAGTTGGTTGTTTCTTCACTTTCTTCTCTTTGAACCTCAGACCTTTTCGTCTTCTTTCCCTGTGATTGTAGAGAATGTTCCTGAGTTTCAAGTAGGAAGACTTATGTATGTCAGATTCTATAATATTTCCCAGTTGGAGGATTGGTCTTGTCACTTTACTTTTGCCTGGCCCCCCAGAAATTACTTAGGAGGGCATTTACTTACAATTCAAAAATAATTGTTTATGAGGAATTTTACTTAGAGTTCTCTCTTCTGGTTTAACAACAGAATCAAATTTGTATGTTAATTACACATCAATAATTTATTGGATTTCTTAACATTCCGTGCTTTTGTTTTCTTAAATAATTACACTGGAAAAAACGCGTTTTTTGTTTTTTTTTTTTTTTTGAGACAGAGCCTCAAGCTGTCCCCCTGGGCAGAGTGCCATGGCATTACAGCTCACAGCAACCTCCAACTCCTGGGCTCAAGCGAGTCTCCTGCCTCTGCCTCCCAAGTAGCTGGGACCACAGGCGCCCGCCACAACGCCCGGCTATTTTTTGGTTGCAGCTGTCATTGTTGTTTGGCGGGTCCGGGCTGGGGATTCGAACCCGCCACCTTAGGTGTACGTGGCTGGCGCCTTAGCCGGTTGAGCTATAGGTGCCGAGCCAATGATTTTTTTTTTTGTGTTTGTTTTTTAATAGGAAACTGTAGGAATAGTTTTGGGTTAATCTTATGACAGAAGTAGCTCAGTTTGCGGTGTCTGCTTAGAAGGAATCCTTTTTTTGTGACTTGATATTCCTTCACAAATGGAGGAATTCGGTTCTTGTAGTGTTTTTTTTTATGACAATCACAGTTTATTTTTATTTTTTTTGGTTCTTGTAGTTTTTGATGGTGAGTAGGTTTCAATTTTAAATGTGAACCACTCATCAAATAATAGAGTTAAATAAGAGATGCAAAGCAAAAAACTACACTAAAATACCAGTTTTCCTCTTTTAGATAAACAAAGGTTGGAAGTTTTTTTCTTTTTCTTTTTAAAATTTATTATTGGGGATTCATTGAGGGCACAAGAAACCAGGTTTCACTGATTGCATTTGTTAGGTAAAGTCCCTTCTACAATTGTGTCTTGCCCCCAAAAGGTGTAGCACACACCAAGACCCCACCTCCCTCCCTCCCTCCCTCCCCCTCTTTGCTAATCCCTTCCCCACACTTCCCTCCTTCCTCTCTCTGCTCACCCCTTCCCTTGTCATTAATTGTCCTTATATCAAAATTGAGTACATAGGATTCATGCTTCTCCATTCTTGTGATGCTTTACTAAGAATGTGTTCCACTTTCATCCATGTTAATACAAAGGCTATAAAGTCTCCATTTTCTTAAATGGTTGAATAGTATTCCATGGTATACATATACCACAGTTTGTTAATCCATTCCTGAGTTGGTGAGCATTTAGGCTGTTTCCACATTTTGGCGATTGTAAATCGAGCTGCAAGGAATGGTCTAGTGCAAGTGTCCTTAAGATAAAAGGATTCTTTTTCCTTCTGGGTAGATGCCCAGTAATGGGATTGCAGGATCAGATGGGAGGTCTAGCTTGAGTTCCCTGAGGGTTCTCCACACTTCCTTCCAAAAAGGTTGTGTTAGTTTGCAGTCCCACCAGCAGTATAAAAGTGTTCCCTTCTCTCCACATCCATGCCAGCATCTGTAGTTTTGAGATTTTGTGGTGTGGGCTGTTCTCGCTGGGGGCTGGGGTTAGATGGTATCTCAGGGTGGTTTTGATTTGCATTTCTCTAATAATTAGGGATGATGAGCATTTTTTCATATGTTTGCTAGCCATTTGTCTATCTTCTTTAGAGAAGGTTCTATTCATTTCTCTTGCCCATTGATATATAGAATTGTTGGCTTTTTTCATGTGTATTAATGTTTTTGTTGGAGTTGAGTTCCACCTTTAGTGCCTTATGGTCTGAGAAGATACAAGGTAAAATTTCAATTCTTTTGATTCTGTTGAGGTTTGTTTTGTGTCCTAGGATATAATCAATTTTGGAGAATGTTCCATGGGGTGGTGAGAAGAATGTATATTCTTTATCTTTGGGATGAAGTGCTCTGTATGCAACTGTCAAGCACAGTTGCTCTAGGGTCTCATTTAAGTCCTTTATATCTTTGTTTAGAGGATCTGTCCACTCTGTAAGAGGAGTATTAAAGGCCTCTGTTATTATGGTATTGTAGGATATCATATTGCTCAGACTGAGTAATGTCTGGAAGTTTTTTTTGTTGTTGTGACAGAGTTTCACTTTATCGCCTACAGTAGAGTGCTGTGGCATCACATAGCTCACAGCAACCTCCAACTCCTGGGCTTAGGAAATTCCCTTGCCTCAGCCTCCCGAGTAGCTGGGACTACAGGCGCCTGCCACAACACCTGGCTACAAAGGTTGGAAGTTTTAATATCATTTTGGCTGGTTGTGGGGAAACAGGGACGCAAAAAATACGGGACATGTGTTAATAAATTGTTGTTGGCTGGGTGCCCACAGCACAGTGGTTACAGTGCCAGCCACATGGGTTCGTGCTCGGCCCAGGTCAGCTAACCAACAATGACAACTGCAACAACAACAAAATAGCTGGGCGTTGTGGTGGGTACGTGTAGTCCCAGTTACTTGGGAGACTAAAGCCAGACAACTGCTTAAGCCCAAGAGTTTGAGGTTGCTGTGAGCTGTGACACTATGGCACTTTACCGAGGGTGACATAGTGAGACTGTCTCAGAAAGAAAAAAAAAAATGGGGCAGCGCCTGTGGCTCAGTGGGTAGGGCGCTGGCCCCTTATACCGAGGGTGACGGGTTTGAACCTGGCCCTGGCCACACTGCAAGAAAAAATAGCCCACATTGTGGCTGGCACCTGTAGTCCCAGCTACTCGTGAGGCTGAGGCAAGAGAATCGCCTAAGCCCAGGAGTTGGAGGTTGCTGTGAGCTGTGACGCCATGGCACTTACTGAGGGCGATAAAGTGAGACGCTGTCTCTTAAAAAAATAATAATAATGCTACTTGGAGGCTGAGGCAAGAGAATCGTCTAAGCCCAGGAATTGGAGGTTGCTGTGAGCTGTGACGCCATGGCACTTACCGAGGGTGATAAAGTGAGACTCTGTCTCTCTTTTTTTTTGAGACAGAGCCTCCAGCTGTCCCCCTGGGTAGAGTGCTGTGGCATCAACAGCTCACAGCAACCTCCAACTCCTGGGCTCAAGCAAGTCTCCTGCCTCTGCCTCCCAAGTAGCTGGGACCACAGGCACCCCACGCAACGTCCGGCTATTTTTTGGTTGCAGCCGTCATTGTTATTTGGCAGGCCTGGGCTGGATTCGAACCCGCCACCTTAGGTGTATGTGGTTGGCGCCTTAGCCACTTGAGCCACAGGTGCTGAGCCGAGACTCTGTCTCTTAAAAAAATAATAATGCTACTAAGGAGGCTGAGGCAAGAGAATCACCTAAGCCCAGGAGTTGGAGGTTGCTGTGAGCTATAATGCCACAGCACTCTACCGAGGGCTATAAAGTGAGACTCTATGTCTCTAAAAAAATAATAATAATAATAAAATGTCTCTTTGAAAGGCAGTTTGGCAGTATCAGAATTTCAAATGTTTATAAAGCAATTCTACATCTAGGAATTGATCTTAGAGATAAACTCATACACATATAAATGACCTATATGAAAGGAATCTTTTTTCTCTGTATCAGTGTTCAGAATAACAAGAGATTAGAAACAACTTGAATGTTCATCACTAGGGTACTATTTAATGTCCATTCAGTGGAAT